TTATTGACTTCTTGAGAAGATTTCCAAGAAGAAAGTAAACCTACAGACATCGGTCTTATTCAACTATATAAATTGTAAATCATTTGGAAAATGTGCAGCTCACATTACAGTATCGAATTAAATAATGTATGGACAACTCAAAAGCATACCTCTTAAAACTTTATTATCTATTTTACTTTAGCTAACCTAAAAGGTTTAATTTTTACATTTTAGTTACTTTAATAATGATAAATAAAGAATACACAAGAAATAAAGTATGTTACCTAGATCTTTTTTTTTTTTGCTCTCGACTGCCAATAAAACTTAACCCTACTTCTTAATATTAATTATACTACTGCATTAAATAATTTCTATTTAATTAAATAATGCACCAAATAACATAAAATAATAACATGCAAAAAGGAAACAATTTTCCATAAATATCATAAATTTTCTGACTTTCTAATTGTGCAATGAATGTCGTTAAAAATTCATCTAATCTCATCAATGTGTTCCCATGGGAATTAAGTTTGAACAGGAAGAAAAATAGACAATTTTCCGTACAGACAACAATATAATATAATACATCATTTGATAGAGAAAAATGTTGGCTTTCTATTGATTAGAAATAATATAGTCTTAAATGTGAGAGAGAACTATTGGCAAGTTCTGAAAAAGAGCATGTTACTAAATGAGATTCAATGTCTGAATGATGAAAACATTATAATGAGTAATTTACATTAAATTTCATACTTCTTGGAGGGGTGGTAAAAAATTAGAGAAGAAGGAAGACATAGATAGTTCTCATACTATGGTAGATTGAAAATTTGTTTAAATATTTCTTTTAAAATTAAGAACTTAAAACTTACATAATATTAAACTTTGATTTATTATCTACATTCTGATGCCAAGTTTATTCATATACGTTGATAATAAAGTAGCTTAATTAAATTTTGAATGGAACTTTGTAAAAGGTTGTCACATGCAAACTTTGATCTACCCGAGGTGAAAGGGTTAATCATCTGGTACTTTTAGGTGGCTTAACTTTCATGCAATATGATGTCATTGATGGAACCTGCCAGAAGTTGATTGTGGACAGCTGTGTACAAACTGTATGCTGTTTAGTTGTTAAGGTTCAAAGCAAAGTATTTGTGCTTGCCTTGCTTATGGGGCATTTTGCAGTGCGTACTCAGTAATCGGGTCTTGGGGGGGTCCAATCTCAAGTGTTCTGACAAATTCTCGTGTGTATGGAACCCAAGAATTTGGGTTAACTAGAATCCTGCTTACCCAACCTCTAGAGTCAACTGGTGTACCTTGTCTAACATATTAAACCATAAACTCTGATATTCAATAGTACTTACCCATAATCTACAGTCAACTGGTCTGAAATATTAAACCATAAACTGTAGTATTCAACAGAACTTAACTAAGATCTACAGCCAACTTGCCTACCTTGTCTAACATATTAAACCATAAACGCTAGTGTTCAACAGTACTTACCCACAATTTACAGTCAACTGGTCTACCTTGTCTAACATATTAAACAATAAATTCTGGTATTCAATAGTACTTATCAAAGATCTACAGACAACTGGTCTACCTTGTCTAACATATTAAGCCATAAATTTGTAATCAACAGTACTTATCCAAGGTCTACAGACAAATGGTCTACCTTGTCTAACATATTAAGCCATAAATTGGTAATCAACAGTACTTATCCAAAACCTCCAGACAACTGGTCTACCTCATCTAACCTATTAAACCATAAACTCTGGTATTCTATAGTACTTTACAAAGATCTATAGCCAACTTGCCTACCTTGTCTAACATATTAAACCATAAACGCTAGTGTTCAACAGTACTTACCCACGATTTACAGTCAACTGGTCTACCTTGTCTAACATATTAAACAATAAATTCTGGTATTCAATAGTACTTATCAAAGATCTACAGCCAACTTGCCTACCTTGTCTAACATATTAAACCATAAACGCTAGTGTTCAACAGTACTTACCCACGATTTACAGTCAACTGGTCTACCTTGTCTAACATATTAAACAATAAATTCTGGTATTCAATAGTACTTATCAAAGATCAACAGTCAACTGGTCTACAGAATACAACATAGTAAATAAACTGTGGTATTCAATACTATTTAATGAAGATCAACAGTCAACTGACCTACCTTATCTAACATAAAGGTAGACCAGTTGTCTGTAGATCTTGGATAAGTACTGTTGATTACCAGTTTATGGTTTAAATCTAACATATTAAACCATAAACTGATTATCAACAGTACTTATCCAAGATCTACAGACAACTGGTCTACCTTGTCTAACATATTAAACCATAAACTGATTATCAACAGTACTTATCCAAGATCTACAGACAACTGGTCTACCTTTGTCTAACATATTAAACCATAAACTGATTATCAACAGTACTTATCCCAGATCTACAGACAACTGGTCTACCTTGTCTAACATATTAAGCCATAAATTTGTAATCAACAGTACTTATCCAAGGTCTACAGACAACTGGTCTACCTTATCTAACATATTAAACCATAAACTCTGGTATTCTATAGTGCTTTAAGGCATTTTCAAGAAATTAGTACTTACAAAAGAACAGCCAGCTGGTCTGTTCATGTGACATGTTAAACAAGATACTTTGATTGAAATCAGTAAGGTAACGATTTTAATAAATTTATAATTTACCCCTGGAACAACAGCCAAATGGTCTTTCTTTTCCTTTCCTTCATCTCCAGGTGGTCCTGGGGGCCCAGGTGGGCCAGGAGGACCAGGTATATATTGTACACCTGAAAAGAAGAATAAAGGTTATGAGTAATTTACAATTTCACAATAACACAGTTCTAATTACGAGAATTATGATTAATTATTGGATGTAAGTTCAAAACTATCATTGATTTTCTGAAGAATCCCATTATTAAAACAGAGCTCACAATGTGGTAATTTTACAGTTATACCTGCACACAATTACCTGATCTCTGCAAAATCTTAGCATAAATTATATTTCTTTCATATATATGACTATCATATATATCATATATGTTTTCATTTAAAAGTAATATTATTCATTTCTTTAACTTTTGCTTACTATCAGTATTATGTATCTTATTTTAATGTAACCATCAACTAGTTCTATACTGAGAGGTAAACACATAATACCATGTAAAGTACTTTACAATAAAGTTTAAACCTACACTAATGGGGCAATATCAAATTTTTATAGATACTAGTATCAACATTTCAAGCCTTCTTCAGACAAAAATTGTACTTAAAAAAGATATGTGAAATGTTGAAACTTGTATCTATATAAATTTGGTATTGTTCTGTTAGTGTGGACTTAAACTTTATTGTAGTTCTATACTGATTTATTTAACATCATACATGCACCAACCTAACATATTACCATCTTACATTATATAATTACTAAATGCTGTACCATCTAATAATGTAAGAGTTTCTATTGGGTTTTCAGTAAACATGATTGATCAGTTTTTCATTCTTACCTTGGGAATGCCCATCTGGTCTGACTATTTTGTAGTCCTTGTAAGCTTGTAACAAAAACATAGACTCAATGCCTCAGAATAAAACTTGTTAGCTACTCTCCTACACTCTATGAACAGCTTATTCGACAAGACAATTTGTTTATGTTTTTAATTATAGATAACAGCATCGTTTAGAGGACATTTAGTAAGAAATAAGTGTTGGGTCATGGTACTTGGTAGCCACACAACACATATATAAGAATCCCGTGGCTTTTAATGAGAACTGGCAAGTAACTGCTTACATCCTAAGGTGTAATTAGCATGCTTAATATATGATGTAACTTGAAAAGTTATCAAATATAAACCAAGGTATAACCTACAGTTATGGTAAAGAAAATACTCGAGATAAAATAGAGAAAAGTTTGATAAATATTTAATTTGGAACTATAATTTTGGGATTTCGTTATGATGTTCTAAATGATTTTACAGAAAAAGAGGTTTTTGAATGTTTAAACAAAATATGGGAATAAAATATGTGGCAGTAAGGGTTTACCATGCCAGTTTTGTGAATGTTTTATTTGCTTGTTTGGTGTTAAGCACAAAGCTACACAATAAACTATCTGTTCTCTTCTCACCATGGGATCAGAACCCCATTTTTAATATTAAAAGCCCACAGACAGCCACCAGGGAGGGGCACTTTGTGAAGGATTTTCTATAAACATAATATGCAACAGGTAACAGCTAGGCTGAAAAGAGACTGACATATAAATACTTGATAAGCGTTTTCAAATTGAGCATATACAAAAAAAAAAGTCGTTGTTCATTAGATAATGCAACAGGTAACTGATGACTGAAATAACATTTGTGTTTAAGTTCTTGGTAATAACTTACATTTTTATATTTTAAAAAATGAACTGTTTCTTCTCATAATTTGAACCTGTAACAAGTAACTAATAAGTAAGATGATACTGTTGTCTCTTTTCTTGACAACAGTTAAAATGTAACGTGTAGAAGAAGACAGAACATCTAACAGGAAAGTGATGCCTAATTACTTGACAAAATTTTGGATATAATCTAAAGAGTAGTCCTTTATTAAACAGACAACAAAGTGATGAAATGCATACATAATGTTGAAACAAATATAACTTAAACTATTGAAAGAACAAAATACCTGTAGGTCTCTCTTCCTCTACATTTAATTAATTAATTTCTAAACAATTTTACTTACTTTGATCATTGATAGAGTTGGATGTTCGAAAGAATTCAGATCCTGGTAGTCCAGGTGGCCCAGGTGGACCTGGTGGTCCGGGCAAACCAACACCAGATGGTCCTGGAAGGCCCTCTACGGTCTCTCCTGGTATACCCTAAAGTAATCAGAAGGAGGCTTATAGTAATTTTACTTTCACAACATTGCACACATGGTTCAAAAAGTTTCTTAAAACAAACAAATAAATACCAAAGATAACATCGTTAAAACATATCTTACAGAAAGACCAAAAACTGAAATAAAATGAGTAAAACAAAGACCATGTTAAAGTGTAACTAACAGAAAACTCATCAATAGACTAAGAGCTTCAAGAATTTTTATAAAACTAACTAAATTGCTAAAAAGCTACAGCTGAAACCCACTGAGAACTCAAATATTTTAACTGATACAAAGTTAGTTGAAACTTAAATCAGTTAAACTAAAACCATTTACTGAAACCACATATAAACTAATGGTATAAACACTGATAAGAAACTGAAAAACAAATCAGCTGGAATCCCAAACAAGAAAGATTTCACGACCTAGTGATTTCAAAACTAATATAAAAAAACAAACTCAAACCAGTTACTGAAACCTACCAATTAATCTAACTGCTTGAAACAACTTTTTGGTATCTACTTTTTAGAATCTCTGGTTTATCAATAAGTTAATTTGTTTATCACAATGTACTGGCTACTTTAGCCTACCAACAGGCAAGAAATCAGAGCAGGAGCTCATTGATCATATCCAAATTACCACAAACTGTAAATGTTAACTCATCCTTAATAAAAAAGAAACTTAATTTTATTGACCATATCCATTTGTTCTGGGATCCATTGTTTATCTGAGACAATCAAAAATTGATATTATTAATGAAGAAATGTTATGAATCATCTTGTAGACTGTCTGTCTTGTAGCTCTTTTGTCCAGTTTGTACTAAACAACACCATAATTGCACTGCATTTGTTTTGCAGTTAGAAAAAATTAATAGTATAGTTATTCCTGAGTAAATTGATTCAAAAATACCACAGACTGAATACCTAGATCCAAATAGCTAAAAACAGAACTTGCCAATGCTTTAAAAAATATAAATCTTTATAATGACTACACACAAATATAATGAACAATCCAATTTATCATCAACAACTTAAAATCATAAGTGTCAATCCAAGCACAGCAATTGTCTTGTCAATCAAACTTGATACTGAGAAGGCCTTTCCATACCACTTATTGGTTTACTGCACCAGAATGGAAAGTGGTGTGTATATTAGTGAGTTCAGATTCTTGGGTATGACCCCAAATGCACCAGAAAATAACACTTCTGCCTATGAAATACAAATTTTCCCAGGAGAACATGCTAAAACAGAAACCTTTTATATAATCTCATTGGAAAACAGTCGTATAACTGGTATAAAAGACAATAAATAATTCACAGACAGAACAGGTCTAAGAATCATTAAAACCTAAAAGATGCAAAAAACACTTAGAATTAAAGCCAGTAAGATTTGATTTAAAGAAAACAGGTGATCTCAAAATTGGTACAAACTAAACATTAATCCAGTGAAAACTAAGTGTATAACATAAACATTTTTCAATTTCATTCAGAAGTTCTTATCAATAATATATATATATATACAAGATTAGTAAAAATTGTTAAATTAAAAATGGGGAAGAGGGATTGTCAAAAAAGTACAGAAATAAGTTGAATCAAAATGCAAAGACTATTTTAAGCCTACAACTGGGGACTAAAAAAAAAGTACACAAACAAAGCTGGAAATAGTGTCTACATTATTTTCTCAAGCTATATATATCCCTATTTTGACTCCATGTCTCCAGTACTTACGAATTTTAGTAGTAATCCCTATTCCACTTTTAAAATGTAAAATATTTACTAATCTTGCTTCTTAAGTTTTTTATGTCCATTTATAGACAATAAATTTTAAGCTATATACGTGCATATGTATTCAGTTGCATGCTACATGTTGTTCAACATGTTTTTTTTTTTGGCTTTTTTTTACACCAAATCACAACACTGAACTTATTCAAAATAAATACAAAATGTACCACAAAAACTAAACACATGTACTGGTATGCAACTACAACAAAAACAAAATGTAAAATTGTTCTAAAAGTATCATCTTAAAGGCAAAAATTGTATTATCACAAATTTAATGACCAGCTTCCATCAATGTCATAGTATAATGTAAAAAAAGATGAGCAGCAACAAAGCAATCTTGTCAAGACAGATTAATGTTTGTTCTAAGACAAAACAAATAGAACACAGATTAATGTTTCTTCTAAGACAAAACAAATACAACACAGAATAATGTTTGTTCTAAGACAAAACAAATACAACACAGAATAATGTTTCTTCTAAGACAAAACAAATAGAACACAGATTAATGTTTCTTCTAAGACAAAACAAACAAATACAACACAGATTAATCCAATGTAAACAAATGTAGTAACATGCTTACCTTGTTAGGTCTACATATGTATGTTCTTCAACAGCCTGCTGTGCACAAGTGTTTGCTAGACTAAGGTGACATAAATAATGCATGCAAAACAGACAATAGCGACACACTTAGCACAAGTCCCCAATTAGTGACAACATTTACAACTACTACCTTAACACCAACTATTTAAAAACAGCAATAACTATATGAAATAATGTTATATGCAGTGCTAATAAATACTGTATACACACACACGATTTCAATTAAGTATAAGAAACAGTAGAAATAATCACCACCATTTTCTGTGTAGAAAAATCTACTACAGTAATTGTCCTATAAAAATTAGCTGAAATAGAGTCCCGGAAATCCACATAGAAAAAGCAAACTCGATCAAAGATGAACGATAGTGACTCAAGTAAAATCAGGAACCTCTCATGTGGCAGTTTCCAGTTAATGCACAAGTTGTAGTTCCCAAGTAGTGACACGCTTGAAAAACACTGTATTTTTTGATGGTGGAAAGTGAAGGACTTACAAAATTTTGCAGCATGACAAAATTAAAGATGTTGAATTAAGTTTAAAATTACTTTCTCAGTTTTCTGCAAAATTCCTGTGTAATCCCACACTACAGTAGATATTACTTGCAATAATTTTATAGTGCAGTCATAATAGGAATTTGTAACTCGACCAAACTGTCAGCAGTAAGTCTCCAGCCTTGTTTGCTTAGTTTTTCTGCAATCCCCATTTGTAGTATTTAAATTTTTTAACCATCTTGTATGCTGGCTTTTTTAATGCACAGCAATGGGCAAGTATATTCATAGAATAAAACACCTCCTCACTAAGCGCATATAAAATTTTACCAGTAGAAAAGTAGCCTTTTCAAATAAAAAAATACATCTAAAACATCACTTTAAGTCAAGCTTTTGTCTTTTAAAGTAATTATTTACTGAGCTAGGTAGCTTTGTGGCTGAAATTTCATGTAAAAATGCATCAAGTACAAAAGCAGCTGCTCAGAACAACATCCCATCTACTATGTATTTATAACTACATAAATCAATTTTCAATGAAAAATAATCTACTTTTAAATAGGTCATGGACATTCACAGTTCTTCATACAGTATATGTTTAGGTTTCGTGCAAAATATCCAGCCAATAGTGCTGTAAGCTTGTGAAACAATAATATTAATAATAATAATATGAACAAATGTGCAAATTTTGATTCTGTCTATAATTGTGAAATCACTTAACTATTGAAAAGGAATATTTTGAGTGTTGTTTCAAGAATAAGTCTGCTTTTTAAGGTGGTTTTGCCCAAGTGTTCTATTAGAGTTTTAAGCAAATTCCTGTACAATCCCTATTATGAGCTATGATAGTGGTTCATGATAACTGAATGATCAATTTTACAAGTGTAAAACAACTCAAAGCATCAACTAAGAGCTCAAACTAGAACAATTTATATTGTTTCAACAGGTACTCTTAAGAACTGATATAAAATTAACTGAAAACTACACCAGCTAGAAATGAAAGCAACTACGGATTAATTAATAGATTATAAAAAAATTGATTATTTTGTCTGAAACACAGGTCAGATTTATCTGAAAAAAACTCAATTATTTTTCAGAGTCTAAATACTAATAAAACAAACAGGACACTCACTGGTGGACCAGGAGGTCCTGGTGGCCCTGGAACTGGTATAAATTCCACTTCACCGGTTGAAGGTAATCCTGGAGGTCCTGGTTCTCCTTTTTCACCCTGGACGGTAAAAATAAAGTTACTCATTTAACTAAAATAACTGTTTACACAAATCAAGCATTTTATAAAACTACTCACTAGTTACACAAATAAAAAGTTTACAAGCATTTAATTTAACTTTAATGAAAGAGTCAACAAAAGTCCTCATAAGTATTCAAAAGCACTTTATAAAAGTTGGCTGGCCATTCTGGATATTTGTGCAAATTTACTCAAAGGATAGCTATCTGCATAAGCTATCCCTAATTTTAAACTGATAGACTAGAAGGAAGGGAGCTAGTCAACATCACCCACTACCTTGTTGGGCTGCTATAACCAAATAATGGGGTTTAACTGTCACTCTTACAATGCATCCATAGCCCCAAAATGTAAAGGGCAATTTTGCATCAACAGAATATAAGCCATAGACCCTCAGATTCAGTCCAGTATGATACTACTAAGCCACATCTGGTTCATTTATAAAAGTCATATGGGGACCAACTGATTACAGAAATTATAAAACAATGTATTATTTTAAGATAAACTACAGATTACAGAAATCATGCATTAAGTTACTAATTAAATTATAATCAATCATTGCACAAATAAAGCAATTTATGCAACTACTCAATTAACTAAATAAATTCAGCCCTTTAAAAAACAATTTATTATTAATTAGTTACAACATCATAACTCTGGTAGTTCAAATAATACAATTAGTTGAGTGTTACTTAATACTGAACTTCCTAGCAGAAAAGTTTGAATAAATAGTGCTGAATATCATAAAAGCATATTTTGACCTTTGACCCAGATTTTCCTGGTATTCCACTAAAACCTCGTGGTCCAAGAGCTCCAACTGGACCTTCAGGACCAAGTGGTCCACGAACTCCTGGGTCCCCTTGACTGCCTTTCTCTCCTTTGGGACCTATTTATATAAATACAATAGTGAAATCCAGTTCTCTCTATATATGTGTGTGTGTGTGAGTATATATATAAATAATACCTGTATGTACATACATATTCTAGTTTTTAAAACTGAAGAAAGCCTTAAAAACCCTAAATTAATGATTGTGAAAATTTGAGATATAGCATAAATTGTTACCATGGATTGTGCAAGGTAATATTTTCGTACACTGAAAACATATTTCCAATAGGTATTAGCTCCACTAACATAATATCTTTCCTCTCGTTTAGTGCTGCCCTCTATATGTGCAAATGTTTTCAATTGCAATTAGCCTTGAAACTCCCACCTATTCCACATTCATAAATAAGCATGCAGCAACCATCCACCAACAGGTGTATGGCACACTCTCTTGATACAGGTTTCTCCCTCTATACCATTCATTCTAACCTTTATTTTGAGACTAGGCATAAAAGAAACACCAGAAGTAGGGAGGAAGTGTGAGATGAGGTAAGTACCTATTGGAAACATATTTTCAATTTTGGAAAATATTAACTTTCAATACAGTATCTTACTTCCACTCATATAATAGTTAGAATTCCACATTGAAGAGGTGGAGAGACTGGTGCAAAAGTTACCTAGATGAGCATCTTCCAGAAAGTACCCAAAGAATGTCCATGGAGTGTGTCCTCTATTTAGAGAGGAACACACCTATGGGAGACCACACCACATCTGTACCAGGTATACTCTTTGCACAATGAGGTATTAAGTGTCACATAAATTGGCTGAAATTAATTGAAGCACATTCATTAATGTATACACATTGGTTGGTCCAGCTCAACACGGAACAGAAACACATGGGAATCGATATCCAGGAGATGGAAGGATGGAGGGTTCCCAACCAAATATAGTAATGGTATGGAAAACGAAACACATGTGCTCTAGGGTGTAGAATGGCTAGGTAGCTCCAGACTGTACGCAGTGGGTTAACTTCAGTCCAAATCCAAGCAACCTCACGTATTTATTATCCATTCCACAGTAAGAGGAGGGTCCATACTGTCTTCATCATAAGCCTATGAGACAGGAGGGAAGATGTTCCATTCTGTCTGACTAGACAGGGCACATGAGTGCAAGTCCTTAACCAACACCAGCCACTCAGGAACCTGACATCCAAATGATGGTAGGAAGGGAAGTTCCTATGTGGTGGTTCATTGAAATACCTGGTCCAGCTCCATGTACTACCATAATGTACAAATCACAACACGCAAGTGGTATGCTGTGGGTATCCCAGCCAACTAGAGTACCTGTCAATCAGTCTAGTTCTCTGCAATACTGAAAATTCAAGCATCAACTAGTACATTGTATCTGTGTTAGGACGAGGGCTCTCAACCAACACATGCATGAGGACTTATGTTGAATGGTCCAATTCAAATCCAAAACCAATGGTCCAAGAACTGACTGACATTCAGGTGGTGGTAGGATAAGGGGTCCCAATCAGAGGTGAAATGCATTATGGTGGACCTACTCCAGTTTCTGATTTTGTGGGAAGATCTACAGCAGCACACCACTCCCCTACTCTCTACTGAATTGGATTGAGCAGGTTCAAGTGGAAGCTTCTTTGGTCCACCACCCCAGCAGCTAGAAACTGGTAAAGACTCCCATACTCCACTCGAAGAAGGGGGAAGCATTGGGGAGTCAGGAGGAATGCTGACACCAGAGACTGTGCAATGGGTGACCACAGAAACCTTATTTTGAAAAGCAGGATGCCCCTGATTTATTCAATCAAAGAAACAACAGAGATGGGCAGCTATCATTGTAAGGATTTGTAATTTGGATATATAATGTCTACAGTATTTGCAGCCTTGTTTGCTTACTTTTTTTAATGATCTTTACTTTCAGGTTTTTAAATTCTCAATTTTTTATTTATGTTGTTTGCTGGCTTTTTATATGCTCAACTATGGGCAAAGGAGTGCTTGATACGGTAGCTAACCTTATATATTGTAGTGATAATAAACATAGCTAGTCGATATGGGTCATGATGATTTACTGTAGCTATTGACTATTTGATCACATTAGTTCAAGATGTAAAATGTTAAGCTGCAGCTAGAGATTGTCATGAAGATTTGTTTGAGAATATAATGAGCATTTATAGTTTCTGTGGAACTAAATTCTTTATACACATGCATAGTAATGGGCAAATATATTCCTAAACTAAGACACAACCCCCACTAAGCTCAAATAAAATTTTACCAGTAGAAAAGCAGGCTTTTCAAATAAAATATATAAGTCTAAAATATCACTTTAAATAAACATTCATGTCTTTTAAAGTAATTATTCTAAGAATGCATGAAATAAAATTTCATATTATGTGTACTGATTTTTTTTTACTCCTTCACTTCATACATAATATAGGGGTTGGCTCCCTAAAGATACTGATTGTAAAATGTACAAATCATTGAGTATCTACATGTTACAGTCATCTAATGTTCATTTATTATTGGCTGATAATTCCTGTTTCACAATGTACTTAAGCTTTTTAAAGGAACACCAGAGTTTGTAAGAAAGGGGTAACGATAACATCATTTACACTAGAATTATGATGTTTTTTAGCTTATGTGAACTATCAAAATCATAGGACTTAGAAAAAGATATGTTATGTGTATAAAATACTTCTTCATGTTTGTACCTATAAGTAGTATTTCATCCTATTATATTAATACGAACAAAAAATTTGGGAAATATATTTTAACCATTATAAAAGTGTATAGAGAATTTGTCAAAGTTTAAAGTGGATTCTTTAATTTTTCAGTCAAGACACTTATCATGACATCCAACATGTTGTTATCTGCTTGTAGTATCCCATGCTCTTTTCCATGATGCTCAGCAATATCATTGTTTGAACTGGGACTTTGGATGTCTTGTATATGTTCAGGTATTCTATCATGTACAGGTTTCTCAAACTTTAACATAACCACATTGTAGATACAGTATCAAATTGAAACATTTCTCTCAAAGAATGAATGTACTACTATTGTTAATATAGTTATATAGAAATACTTTTGTTAATGTAGAGTAAAATGTGGCATTAATTAACTAATCAAAGGTAGCTACTATTGTTGAAAGTATCAAATGCAACTATTTTGTTAATGTAATGTAAAATGTAAAAATAGGTTAGTGTAACAATTATAATTAAAACTAACTACTAATGTTAATACATGTAAAATGCAATGCTTTTGTTTATGTAAAGTAATTGTAACTATTAGTGTTAAGGCTACATGAAAAGTAATTACTACTGCTAATATAATGTCAAACATAATCAACAGTGTTAACACAGTGTTTAATAAAACCACAATTGTTAGTATGGCATTATATGCAACCACTATAATTAAATAATGTAATATTATTGGTGTCTTACCTGGAACTTTAAGGAATTTCAACCCTTCTACTTCCTGGGTATCAATCAAAGTTGAAAAAAAACACAAAAAAACTACAAGTTAGAGGCAAACACTGGATTGTTTTAAAAATAAAGCATTCTAAAACTACTTTGTTAGAAAATATGAGAATTGAACTTAACAGATAAAAATCATGACCACAAGTGTATTTATACTTAAATAAGTGAATAAAAACATGTACAATGTATAAACAATGCATGCAAGGATAAATATCAAGTTTTATATAGATAATCTTAGGTATTAAAACACCATATTATAATAACACATCAAACACTCCAATACTCTTACATCTATATATGGATATTCATTTCCTACATATAAACAAATATCACAACTGTAATTCTAAACTCAACATTTTTCAACCACAGGTCCATGGACCAGCACTGATCCATCACAACAAACGTGCAGGTACATTGGATTTCATGAAAACAAACAAAAACTGACAGAATATTTCTATGCAAATCGTAATGTTTTTTGCTGTACTTGCATTTTAGTGGTCTCCAACAGCTTATGGAGTCAGCAAGCTGGTCCCTGATACCAAAAAGGTTGAAAAATGCTATCTTTACTCAATGCTAGTTATATCAGTCTGTAATGGACTACAATATGCATACTATATTTTTACCAATATATTTATCTACAGTATTCATTTAAATACATAACTTGTTGCTAACAGTAAACAAAAATCACCACTAGGAAATATCTGTGTTGAGATTTGTTACTATTACAATATTCATAGATGGAGCTGTCTCATTAATGCATTTTATAATATACCAAGAACTGTAATTATATTACTCTTCAATACTTGTATCCAGAAGTAACTATTACAACATTCTGCAAGAACAATATTAAGTTAAAGTTATTATGAGTCTTACTGTGATGTAACATTATACTAATTATTGAACAACAGATCATGCTTTGCTAGCATAGGTATTGTACATCATAATATTAAGTTATATTAGGAAATTGTGAGGATACACTATTATGTATTAATTCTATAAAGTTTTGTTCCAAAACTCACTCCTTCTTCAAATGATAGTTGTCCTGGCTCTCCTCTTTCTCCTTTCTGCCCTTTCAAGCCTATACCTGTGCTTCCTTTCTGGCCTGGCACTCCAGGTGGTCCAGGTTTACCCTACATAACACAAGATATTAAAAATTTCTGATAATCTACATTTAACTTATGAAACAAAATTTATTAAAAACTGTAACTGTCCACAGCTTATCTCAAACAAAATACAAAATTAATGTGCTGTACTCCAAGATCACAATATGCAATCAGATGTATTAAACATTCAGATAGTTGAAATTTACCCCTAGTCAAAAACAAATTTATATTAAATGTTCTTATAGTTTAGGTTTACACTGTGTAACAAAAAGTACACATTCTGATAATCTATACACTCTCTACAAAGCAAAACTTAGCAAGCATTCTGATAGCTTAAGTTTATCCTATGTAAAAATATAATAGATATTTTACTATTGAATATCATGTTCATTGAATGTTTCTGATTAAAGTATGTCAAACACGCTAAATAGTGAGCTTAAGTAAACAATAATATTACAGTATGGCTTGGAACAAAGAAGAAATAATTTATTTTCAATTATCAAGATCAATAGACTTACTCTCATATCCACAAATTACTCATGTTAAATGTTCATCTTTTAAACAAGAAATAATCTAAAAAAAAATTTCGTTTTTATTACTTAGCTCATATTGCCACAACAAACTGTTAGACTTGTATGCAGTTTATTGACAAATTCATAGACCTGATTTTTAAAGATTAGAATTTCTTCAGATTGATACCAGAATGCTAGAGGGTTTGTTGGCCCAAATCTAAAAGCAGATCAGATTTTTACCTATCAAAGATGAAATATGCATAAACTTTACAAAATTAAAAATGTTTAAGATCTCACAAGAATGTTCCTGTTGTTATCATAAAACAAAATATTTAAGTTAGCTGAACTTATGATTTCAGAGAGGATTCACAGTAACAAACAGATAAAGAAAAATTATTTTTATTTCACTAAAAGTACATGTCACAATAGGTAGAGCATGAATATTTGCTTCTACTATGATGTAAAAACTGATTTGGGTTTTACATCTATTCTGTTAAAAAAAAAGTCTGTCAATGCATAAAAATATAAAAAAGATGAAGATTAAGAACACAGAAAAACTTGACAAGTCCAATACACAAAAGATATATATATGTATTTAACCCTGCATTAATTTTACTAATTTTAACTCATATTTCATTACCCTTTACCTATAAGGGAGTGTTATATATATATGTATTATTCTTAACCTGTTTAATTCACTGTAATTTTACTCTTTTGTTAATTAGTCCATGTATTTTCCCGTTTTACTTAAACTCTTCAAAAATATGTCGTTTGTTGACTTCCTAAAAGTTTAGTGATTGATACAAGATTTTGTGGTTTGTTTTCTTATACAAAATACTGATCGCATTGTATAAATAGATTTACAACACATTCTGACACAAAGGTTAGAATAATATACAAGAAATGTCATTTTCAAATTCAATACTGACATGGGGTGGTGCAGAAAACCTGCAATTGTCAAAAATAGAGAGATCACTTATAAACTCTAGTGATACTCATTTTTATGGTTGATGCAGAAAGCATAGCTGGTATGAGCTTAAGAAAGTAACAGCTGGTAGTATGCAAAATGATAAACTCATGATAAGGTGAGCCCTGTCAAATAACCTGCAACAGCGTAGAATAAGCATAGAAGAGCAGATGAACTGCACTGTTTTGGTAGGGCTTTCTTTTTGGATCAAGACATTCTGAAACTGTCCCTGGTGTTCCTTCATTCCACAGCAGTAAGTAAAAATTATCTTTCTATTCCATTTCATCAGATATTCTGACAATAACACTTTTCAATTGTAATGCTGTTGTTTTTAAATGCCAAATAAGAAAGTAAAATAGAAAATTTTAAATCCATTTATGTATCAAAAGAAGTGCCACATATCAAATAAATGCACTAAAATGGAATAAAAAATTAAAGTGATTCTGTTTCCTGGTAATACAGGTAAGGTAGTCACGTAGTAATGAATCAGTGTAACACAATGCATTCATTGGTTTGAGCTTGAACTACTTATTATACTTAGGGTCAAAACAGACTTCAGAGTTACTTAACAAAGGGAATACTTTTCACTACTTAAAGTTAAACCAAATTTAGTAAATTAATGGTAATAGTTATTTCCAGCTATCTGATACTAGTTTCTTAAAATTGTTCAAAAGCAAAAAAAATAAAAAAAAAGCTCAAGATCATATGAATTATAAATACTTGAAGAAAATTACAGTAATGTTTTGCTTATTAAAGCAGAACTTGAGCTATAATACCTCCATGCTTTAAGTTTGCTTTTTTTTTGAGGGCCACAGATAACAAAAACAATATGAATTTGTACCTTTATTTGAAGGGGAAGTCCAGTCTGCATGCATAAAGTTGAAAACAAACTGTAATCAATATTTTCAAGTATGGTAAAATGAACTTTTGTGCTTAAGGTGAGTAACCATGTTCTAACAATCTTTTTAGTTTGACAGCTTCCATCCGGTACAAGTTAATCAGTTTCAGCAACTGTGTTTCCAATTACTGTAACATTACATGTATATAAGCCAATGTGTATTTAAATGAAACAATTATAAACTAACTGACATATTTATCTAACAATATATGCACCAAGATTAATAATAAGCCCTAATTAAAACAAGATTTGAAACTGATACATGTACCGAGGTTAATACTGAACTCTAACTAAAACAAGATTATAAGCTGATACAGTATTCTAACACTACATACACCTAGGTTAATACTGAGATCTAATTCAAAGAATATTAGAAACTAATTGATACAGTATTCTAACACTCTATGCATTTAGGTTAATACTGAGATCTAATTCAAACAATATTAGAAACTAATTGATACAGTATTCTAACACTTATGCATTTAGGTTAATACTGAGATCTAATTCAAACAATATTAGAAACTAATTGATACAGTATTCTAACACTATGCATTTAGGTTAATACTGAGATCTAATTCAAACAACATTAGAAATTAATTGACATAATATTTTAGCACGACATGTATAAAAGCCAATAATGTTTTCTAATTCAGACATGATAATACAAACTAAATGATACAGTATTCTAATACTACATGTAAAGAAGCCAATACTGTGTTCTAATCCAGACATAATAATGCAAACTAACTGACACAGTATTCTAATACTATTTGTACTAGCCACAACCCAAAAAACATTTGCAGTAGTGTTCATGCCCTTCATTTGAATTTTCCCTTTCTATCATTTTCATGCACACCATTTAAGCTATGCTTTCTTACAAGCATTATGTATTAGATCAATAAATCCTAGTCTATTTGAAAAAAAATGTACGCAGTCAGACAAACTCATGTAGATGTAGAAGGAAAATTAACTAACTTATAACTATTGCAATTCATACTACAAATACATAAATATATATATTCTCTCACTGGAAATCCAGGGAATCCTATTTCTCCAATTGGACCAATTGAGCCAGGAGGGCCAGGGGGACCTGGAGGACCTCGTCTTCCCCGTCTTCCACGCAAACCAACATCACCTTTCTCTCCCTGCAGATTAGTGTATTCAGTATATTTCTAGTTACCAATATTTTTATAATTCTACATCTCTCATTTTTTTTTAAAAAAATGGTGATATTTTTTTCATTAACACACTTTTTTATTGGTTGTACATAGTAAAACTTTTGTTTACTTCATTAACAATGTTTCACCAGGTAAAACATTATGAATAAAGTAAACAAAAGTTTTACTATGTACAACCGATAAAAACTTGTGTGAATTTTAAAAACACAGTGATTTTTTTTTCCATTATCAACAAATTCCCAATAAAATTTCGTTTTTGATAACTTGCAATGAATCAGTTTACCAGGAGTTAAAATTACTGATAAACTGTTATACATACTACACAATACAAATATGACTCAAGATCTACAAGATAGAGGAATGTGTTAAAACTCTTTAAAAAAAAAACCTATATCATTACCCTGCAAATATCTTTTGAAGCAAAATAAAGTAAGAGAATATAATTTTTGGTTAATAAAGGATTTTTCAACATATGTGTATTTTCTTTGTTTGCATATTTCATGGTTCACATTTCAGTTTCTTTCTGTAAGGGAACAGAAGACTGTCGATAATTTGTGACAGTAACATATGAGGCTACATCACAAATATTAAATGAAGAAAATAATTTGATCCCAAGAAATTTGCAAGTAGACATTATTATATAAGCAACAAGAAATATTCAATCTTTAAAAAATATTTATGAAAATGATTTTAAATTTTACCTTATATGTAATAAAATTAAATGTTTGTAAAAGGAAAACCAAACGTACAATAACTTTAGCCACTCCATCCACAGTAACAACTTCAGTGACACCAGGAGGTCCAGGAAGTCCAGGTGGCCCAATTTTACCAGGTGGTCCAACTGGTCCAAGTTCCCCAGGTAATCCTCTGTTTCCTGGTTCTCCCTAAATGGAAGCAGAATTACATAAAGTGAGAGAGAGAGAGTGTGTATGTGTGCGTGTAGAGGGGTTAATGTCCAGCTTCCTCTTCAATATTTTGTCCATGAAATCTATCCATATGACAATTAAGTTCAATTTACAGAAATGTAGTTCATCTACTCAATAACCAATAACTTTTTTGCATTTGCTTTTGTTTGCTCAGTTCAAAAGACACCCTTGTGCATGGCCCAGAATTATACTTTTATTGGCTTTTGTTTCCAAACTGACACATAGGGTTATAAGTTTAACAAATATTCTTGGGTATGATAATTATACATATTCATGCATTTACTTCTGTTTCTTAACTTCCAATATTCAATTTAATGTATATCAGTTTCTATATTTTGTCCAACCTCACAACATTCTACATCTACTACTCCTGTTTTGTTTTCTATTTCTTGATCTATTTAACTTTCTGTAATTAAGCTCTAGATTAAATTTATGGATTTCTAAATGTTTCAGAAATACCTTTAATCCATAGAGTCCAGGAAGTCCAGGTGGACCTTCAGCTCCTTTAAGTCCTTGGTCTCCTTTCTCTCCCTAAAAAAAATGAGTTTCTCATTGTTGATGTTTTTACAAAAATGACACAATAGTGTTTTATGTTTTATATTAGTAAAATAAGTAGTGGTGTGTGTGTTTCCACATAATTTAGGTTTTACTTTGCTTGAATAAAGTAGATCAGTTGATACTGTACATTTCACTACATTAAAATAAAGCTCAAAGCATTTATATGTTATTTGAGAGGTAAAAAAATCACCAAGTAATACAATTACATCCTGAATAGAGTAGTTAATTTTTACAATAAATTCTGAAAATGGAAATTCAATTTAAATTACAAGAACATCATTGTCCTATGACAAGTTTATCTAGTGAATATCAATATACAATATTTTTTCAGAAAATTATAAATGGTTGATGATAAATATTTTTGTTTTTGTTTTCCAAAGTCTGTTTAACTCTCACAAAAGAAAAATTATCTAATAATGTTAAAAACGTTTAGTTTTATTAACCATGAAGGTCAATAAATATTTAAATTACTGTTTGCCCAGTATGATGAAGGTGACAAAATAGTTATGCTATTTTTAACATATAATTGTCATTCACCAAAACATAAGTGTAGAATAAGCTTATATTGAAATTCATGATAAAAGCATTTGTCTGTCACATATGTGTTTATGATTAGACATAGCAATATGGCACAAGTTAATCAGACAATGAACATTATTAAAACCATAAAGATACTAGGCTAGTGGACATAAAAGGTTCACTTCAGATGCAGCAAGGTATCTTTTAATGGATTAAAATAGAAAGTACTTCAATTAACAATATTATACATAGGTTTGTTCATTTCTTTTGATTTTTTGTGCAACCCTACAAAACAACTACCTGCACATAACCATCCCTAATTTTGGACTGACAGACAAGATGGAAGGCAGTATCTCAACAGCACCCTACATCAATGCTTGGGCTACTCTCGTCTGATCAAATAGTGGGATTTGACCATCACTGTTATAGTGCCTTCATGGCCCCAAAGTTTGGACCATGTTTCTGTGGCAATGGAATGTGAATCATGAAGTAGAGTAAGCAGTAATGTATATTTCAATATGTGAGATTAATTAATACCGTATATTTCAAGAAAGTTCATTAGGTAGTAAAATATACATAAATACAACTATATGTAAAAAAAATGCATTCTGTAGTACTATAAGAATCAATAAATCAGATTATATATGTATGTAGGCAAATTTGTTCCATGCCTGAAAGGCTCTGAGGGTTAGTGCTTATTTCAAGTTTCCAATGGCACAAAAAGATGAGAATGGTAAAACAATCCCCCCATAGATGGGATGTGAGCCCATTGCAGTTTAAACCCCAGCAATCAGCTGGTACCAAATTTACAATTGAGTAAACTGAAGGAAATTGGGATAAAGTTTTTTGCTCAGAACACAACAACTAGACATAGTTACTGCATCATAATTAGAAAAATAGTTCATTAAATATTGCATGGGAAGAACTCAGGCTTCATAACACTTGAGTAAATAGTACTGTTGGTTTTAATACCATCTATAATCAGAGAAGGAAGTAGTCATACATATATTAAAATATTTTAATTTACAGTTAAAATATGAATAGATGAAATGTAAAATATCCTTTCACCATACTCTAAGCCAGTGGTTCTAAATCTGTGGTTTATGGAAAACTTGCATAAATATGAAAAGGAAGTGGTCCTCCAAAAAAAAAAAATTCAGTTGGTCCACGAAAATAAAAAGTCTGAGAACCACTACTCTGAATCACAGACTTGAACTATTAATGTAATATCAATCAAATACCAAATAATACTGGGTACAATTTTAATCTGTATATTAGGTTTCAATACATACTTTAGGACCAGGTGGACCAGCTACTGGTACTATTTCTTTTCCTTCTACTGAAGGTGAGGGAGGTCCAGGAGGTCCAATATCACCCTATGAAGACGAAAGTTAAAAGTCACATTTCAAGACAAAAAAAAAAGAATAAGGAGCAATTGTAAAATATACCAAATAAAATTTGTATAAAAGTTAGAGAATAATAGACTTCCTCAATCAACATATTACCTTTCCTCCTTTTATTCCATGAGGCCCACGATCACCTATTAATCCTGGTAGTCCATCAAGTCCTGGTAAACCTTGTTCTCCTTTTAGTCCCTTAGGCCCAACTGGACCCTAGAAACAAGTGTTCCTTTTATACTGTGAAATCTTCAAATATCTTAGTCATGTCTATTGGTGGCAACCACCAGGAAGTTCAACAAAAAAAGAATTACAATGGTTAAACCTTAACCATGTTTTATGTATCTAAGGTCAACAATAATAAAGTTGTGAGTGCTTTAAGTTCTGGGTACATATCCAAGTTGGATAACAATACTTCTGTTATACCTATCCAAACTTGTAACCACAAAGTAACCATCATAGTTTTCTTACTGTAACTTTTAATACATAACTTTTGTACATAAAAAATCAGAGTTCTTTTAATTAAATATTTTGACGAAAGATTTGTTCATGAATATATGGAGTCAAAGTGTTGACTACTCTGAGTGCAAAGTGATTTGTATGTTAAGATTAAAAATACTTTTCATCACTTGAAAATTTTAAAATTTCATTTGCATAACTTCTAAAACCTCCTAAATAAATATCAAACTTTTTTTCCAGTAAGACTTTATATTTTATCTGTTATTTTCTCTACCCTAACTATATGAATTTATCGATTTAACTGACCATGTAACCTTGAAAAATACGAAACAAATCTAAATTATCCTTTTTATTTTCTATAATGATTGCAGATTTTAACAGGAAACAGCAACTGTTTATCCTAAATAGCTTAAAGCTCACAAAAGTCTATATCTGCTCATACTTAATTTTATTAATTTAATGCCCTTTGAACCACGTCTATCTAATAATCCTGCCACACAAGTTGTAAATCACTCGGCAAATGTGTATATATATATATATATATAATGTAACACATGAGCTGCTCTAGTAACATGACGCAATAATACAACAAATGCCAATTCACAACAACTGATATGAGACACTACTCACAACTATCTGTATGTGTTATTTACAAGACACCACTCATTACTGATACTAACTCTAAGACATCACTCACTACTGATGCTAAGTAACAGATTGCTCACTGCTGATGCTAACTAACACAACATTCACTACTGATGTTAATTCTAAAACAATCAAAAGACACTACTCAGTAACTGATACAAAATTATTCGCATCACTCACTAGTGATGCTATCTGTAATGTACCATTTACTTTTGATGTTCCTTCTAATACACTACTGACTAATGATGCTCTCTGTGCTACACTACTGACTAACGATGCTCACATTTTTGTCATCTATAAGAAACTACTTACTATACTCTATAATACTTATAAAATAGTACACACTGCTTAATAAAACTTAAAGTACTACTCACTGTTTAATATTACTTCAAATACATAACCCTCTACTGAATATTTGTGTTATCTGTGAGGTCCTTTCTGCTTGGTGTTTACCTGTAAGACCCTACTTAATTGTATGTGTTGCTTATAAGATAATGTTTAATACTGTATATGTTACTTATAATATGTTATTCAAAGTATGATATTATTACAATGGTTACCTATGTGGAACCATGTGTATCATAATGCTTTTCCTAAAAAGAATACTATCTATTAGTGAGAGGTGCCTGTAACATACAACCACCACTGATTCTCTACTACTGTAGGCTAATTGGTACAATACTTTTTGTTATGCTGCAATATATTTGGAAGGTATATATATTCCTGATGCTCTATACTTTTAAAAATAATATCTAATAAACATTAATAAATAAGACTGCAAAACTAGAAAAGCTATGAAAAGCTTGAAAATCTCAACTCACTACATCTCCTTTAAGTCCTTGATCTCCCTTTTCACCATGAAAACCTCTTTCTCCCTTTATGCCAGGTGATCCTGGGACCCCTGGAAGACCTGAGGGTCCACGAGGTCCAGGTTGACCACTAAAAGGTCCAAGAGGTTCCTCACCTGATCCAAACCATCCAGAAGAATATCCAGATCCATCTAACTAATGTAAAGAAAAACAAAGTTGAAAAATGTAAAGAAACTAAGCATTATCATTATACTAACTATCATGAATATCAAAGTTTTAGATGTAACATTTCAATACTACAATTCAAAATAAATAACAGTTACATAATTTTTTCATACACAGCCATTCTGTTCATAGATAATTATTTGTAACAGATAAGAATGACAAAGACTTAATGTATGGTAATGCCTTCCCTATGAACTTATTACTCAAAGAAACACAAAAACTCTACTGGCAACAAAAAATAATTGAACAACAAAATATATAGTATACCTAAATTACACATTTAGTACTCGTGGCAATGGTACTGAAGCAACACTGACACAATCAGAACTAAAAAAAAGTCCACATACACCAAATATACTTCCTCGACCATGTGATGGAGGTCCAGGTGGACCTGGCAGTCCACGTGGTCCTGGAGTTCCTGGGGTACCATTAAGTCCAGGTTCACCTTTCTGTCCTGGTGGACCTTGTGGACCAGAAAATCCCTGGTCACCCTGATTGAAACCAACCCAATATGAAAAATATGTTACATGAAGAAAAACATATCAAACTAAAATATTTTAACAGGTGGTTTAAACATTTACAGAATTGTTCTTTAAACCAGAATTATAACACTTTGAACATGATATACAGGAAATCAAATAGAAAATTTATAGAACTTATGAAATACGATCTTGTAGTATAGAAAATACTAAAATAAGCAATATTATACTCTACTGATATATTATCAAAGCATTATAGCAATTAACACAAATAATTTTAGAAAAACACATTAGTTACCTGTACACTGTTTGTGAGAGAGCAACAGGTTTTACACATACAAAGGATCAACAAGCACCACAGTTATTTTAAAAAATAACAGGTGAAACAACTACATAAAGAAGCTTTAAAAAGTGTTTTTCAGTAATGTTGAAAATAATTTCTCAATTATACAGACCTTATCACCCTTCATACCAACAGCCCCTTGTATTCCCTGCTCCCCTGGTATGCCCTAGGAAAACAAGTAATTAGGTGAGGATTCATTAGTACAATTTTCAAAGTAAACAAAATGCTCAACAGATCATAATTTTTGTCCTCATTATTCAGACATAAGATAAAAATTCAGTAACAAATGATCATTAACGGTCCATATTAAAAAACCCCAGGGATGCTTAGTTGTTATTAATATAGTAGAAAGTGAAGAACTATCTTGTGATTAATGTAGCTGGTAGGAACAGGTCATGAAGGTTAACATTATCCTAAATTTAAAATGTATTTCCAATAATACTTACCTCCACTGACACTTTAACTATTTCTAGATCTTCAAGGTTTCTACCTTTTTACCCATCTAAGCATTGCACTTGCTTGCTCCGGTCTTTCATACCCCACTTGAATGCCTTTGGCAATATCTAATTTGCAAAACTCTCCACCAACACCAGTACACCCTCTATCCAGATACTGTATATAAGCACCTCATTCAGATAATATAATCCCTTTTTCGAGACTTAAGCCATTCCCAACACTAACACTGGCTCTTAGTGGGGAGGAAGGGTGGGAGAGTGTCAGCAGAGGTAAATATTATTGGAAATACATTTTCAGTTTAGGATAATGTTAACTTCCAAAACATACTTACCATCCACTGCTACTTTAGCTAGAATCCCACATTGAGAAGGTGGAGGGGCTGGTGAGGGCATTATCCATACAGAAAGTATCTGCATAGAACCTGGATGTACCAAGATAAGAGTGAGGTAAAAAGTGGTAAAAACCAAATTACATCCAGAACAGGTATGCTCTTCATTCAGAACTCAGTATCGATATCAAAGGTTGAAAAGTACATGAATAATTATTGTAAGCCAGCCCCAAACAGATAGCCGAGGTTCCACAATTCGGTATTAGAATTAAGGGGTCTTGATTCCTATATCCCACATTGGTGGCTAGGGCAATTCGACTGTAATGTGATATACAGATATACTTTGTATTGGATCCCAACCTATAGCCATAGAGTGATGCATTCCAAACCCCGGAACTACAAAAACAAAGGAAGCAACACTGAAGTGGACAAACTTTCTCTTCCACCTGAAGAAGACCGAAAGGTAACATTCCAGGATCAAAATGATAGGATCATTCATGCCTTACTCAACCAAAGTAACAGAACTCATCTGGTCTGGAATTATGAACATTCATTCTTATTCTCCAACCACATGGGCAAGGGGCATTCCAAGGAGCAATATCTTACCTCCACTCATAAATAGCTAAAATCCCACACTGAGTTGGTGGAATGTTGGGTGAGAAGATGATCCCCCTTTAGAAAGCACCCAAAGGGAGACCACAGGGTGTGTGAATAAATGGAAGGCAACATGCTAGTAGGAGACTGCATCGCTACTGAGCAAGGTATACTCTTTGCCAATGTGAAACTGTGTTGGATAAAGAAAAATATGGGAATGAAGGGAACCCAGGTGTATAGTGGCAAGGGCACGTCAGACTGTAAATATACCACAACCAACACCAGTTGAACCATGATAGGGATATTCGGCCCATGGTAGGAAGAGAGTCCTCTACCTTTCACCTCAGATACTGGAACTGGTAGGATGGAGGAACTTCAGTACCAAGCATCCACAACATCATGTGTGCACATCCAACACAACCATCACCATATCCACCAGGAACTGACATTCAAGGGAGAGTAAGAAGGTGAACAACAAAATGGGGTTCATCTCCAGTCCAGCACCAGGCAGCATTGGGAACTTATCATCCAGTCTGCCATAGGACATGTGAGGACTTATGTGGCTGGTGCAGCTCCAACCATCACCATATTTGTCAGGAACCAACATTTGGGGGATGATAGGAAGGAGGGTGAAATATCTTGGTTGAGAGAAGGATTCCAAAGAAATAACAAACAAGAATAATGGAAGGGAGCAATACAAGCTACATAACAGTGAAAAGCCTTGACAGGACACAAAATACATTCTGAGTCTGAAAAAGGATAAAGATTGGAGATATAATGAATGGAATGGGAAAGAGAGCAAAATTACTCATATGTGCAACCATTGTCATGGGTTGGAAAGACTAATTGAAGAAAAGGAGAACATAGGTATGGTGATACAAGGTACAATGGACATAAAGAGCAACCACATCCGAATGTCAACATCCATAAGCCAAGAGGAGGTGGAAATAGGTCTTGAAGGAGAGATGATATAAGGAGCAGGATGACAAGGGCTTGAAGGGAGAAAGTGTAAAACATGAAGAACCACGTGAATGTTTCAATCAGGTAAGGCAGTAGAACAAGGGGATGATGAAGGCAGAAGGAACAAAAAAAAGAAGATAAAGATGTGAGAAGAAAAACCTAGTGATACCAAGAATAATGGAAAGTGGTCAACAAGACAGCTCAGGACCCAGCAATGGTGGATACAGAAAACCCCCTGTCAAAAAAACCAGGAAAGAAAGGAAGTCAGGTGTGGTGCAGAAGAATGGAACATGGGGAAACCATGATAGAATGACCAACAAAGAAAGAAATCCCAATTATGATGGTAAACTGACATGGAGGAAGTGGGACAGAATGGAAAATTTTGGAAGCAACCCACGGGGAAAGTTCAGACCATCTGGCAAGAGACGAGACAAAAATCATGTGTGAAGCCAGAAAGTGAGAATGGAAGGATGCAGCATGCTGGAATGAGGTTAGTGGAGGAATGTTGGATGGAGGTAGTAGTAGATGTGACAAACAAAGGAGACACAGCAACAAGTAGTATGGTGAAGCTGGCCAAAGCAGATGAGGGAATAGGCAGAAAGGTTAATACAATCCTGACTGAGAGCAACAACACCCCTGTTCAACCACCAGGCAAAATCTGTCTGAATGGACAGAGAGAGAGAAGGAAAGGAGTATCCAGGGTATCCTGAAAAAGGTTCCATCAGTCCCACAAAGCTCACTGATGTGACCTCATGTTAGCTCAACCGAGGGGAATAAGAACTTCCCAAGAAGGCCATAGAAGTAGGAAGGACATGTCCCATATTTTACAGAAGGAAGAAAATATATAAACTAAGCTACCTCAAATATGACATGGCTTGAAACAAGATTCCACTAGAGGCAAGGAAGTTACAATAAATGGGCCCAAAGGAAGTGGATGAATATAAGACAGAAGAATCATGTGGACTACATCCCAAAATCCTAGGGAACCAAAGGGAATGTGGACTGCAGGATTACATCCCTTCAACAAATGCACATCTAGACATGAGATTTGGTAATAGGAAAACAGAATCCTAAACAAAAAGGAGTGGATGAGCTGATTTGGCCCTTGAATGCAATAATGATTCCCAAGAAGGAAAAACAAACTGACGGAAAAGTGGTACCACCTAGTGATCAAATAAGTAGGACTACAACAGATGCCCATGAGCCAGCAAGGTGTCCTAACCTAGGAGACAAGGCAGAAGTGAAAACTTGAAAAAGAAAAAAAAACTAATCATCCACCCAAACACTGATGGAAAGCTGTGGACAAGATAAAATGAGGGTGAAATAAGGGTCAAACTGAGGAGGAGTAAATACATGGAGAAAAACCCCAAGCAAAAAACTAATCAGACACTGAAAAGTAGAAATGATGAACTGGTAGGGGTCAACCTGTGAAATCCATGCAAAGATATAAAAATAATAAGTACCCTAAGCCTGGGGAGGAAGATGTACATACCCCCCAACCCACCCCAAATGCAAGTACACCAGAAAGTGGTCAGATTCCAATATCTATGAAAAGTAAAAATTACATTCCACACAAAAGCCAAGTGTTGGGGGTAAAATAGGGGATGAATATAAAAATGGTAAACATAGTAAATGGGAACATACCGGATACACAATATCCTGAAAGTGTGAGAACAAACAGAAAACAGTCACTGCCAGAAAAGGTAGGAATGTACAGCCAAGAAGGAAGCAGAAATAGGGCCAGTCGAATCACCCCAATATTGCCCAGAATCATTAGCCAAAGAAATCCAGATCTGGGCATGGAAGGAAACAGGTAGCCATAAAATGAACACCAACTCTCATCGAAAAACCGAGACATCTTCAGTCAAAAATGTAAGGCCTTGATTCTGAAATACAGCAGGATAAAGTGCAGTAAAAAGTTAACACTACAAAGTGGTGTTACTGGTAAGAAATCCCAAAAGTTCAATGGGAGTGAAGAACAACATAACCGAACTACAGTAAGATAAACTACTATAAAAATAAATCAAAACACAATGTACTTGTTGTGAAGAAACATCACAAAAAACATTAATGTAAAAATATGAGTGAAAGTCGGAAAACAAATTAACACTACTGTGTTGATCAAGAGATGGAAGAAGACACAAGGAACAATACCTGGTTAAAATCGTTGAAGGGGATCAAGGCACTTCCACTAGAACCAAATGTAATGGCACAGCAAAGGAAGAGGGGTGGAAACAAGCTGACCCAAACCTTGTTCTCCTGGTCAGGTCTGTTTGAACCAAGAAGAATTGGAAATAGTGTGGCATTAGCCAGCATAAAAAAAAAAACTCCCAGTGGAATTAGGCCATGACATCCTCAGCCAAAATCTGTTGACCCAAAGCCACAGGATTGTAGGGTATGCCAGAAGCATTGTTAACTTCTGTAGCAGTATTCATGATGTTTAACTGTGAATTCATTCCAGCACTATGAGTGGATGTTAAAATCATGTTAAGAAGCTCCACAGTTGAATGTTTGCAAATTACAAAACGAAAGTCAAACGAAATTAAACATGAAATAACTGGAATCCAGTTAAAAATGTGGAAAAAATTCAAATACAAAAAAAAAGTCACAAAAAAACGCTGTTAAAAAGAAATGTGAGAGAAAACATCCGTATATAAATAGTGTCAATCAAGAAGCAATTATGGGCTGCACAGAAAATAAAGAGCACTAGTTACAATAGGAGTTGTGTAGCACTCCTATTGGTGGAGGGTTGCTACATGATCATTTGCATGATATCATGCAGATGTCTCAAATGAATACATGTGAGTGTAGGTGGGAGTAACAAGGCTAGTGGTGACCAAAAATGTGCCCCTACAGAGGGAAGTACAAGTTGAGAAAAGTTATTTGTGAGTACAGGTAAGATATTGTATCAGTACTTATAGGATCACTCTTTACTTTGCTACAATAACACCCAAACATTGTGGTAAATCTACTATAGCACTACTTCAAATCACTACAGTAAAAATTTATAAAGGAAAACACATTTTAAGAATCTAATAGCACATCACTTACCCTTTCAATTTTAGCCCACAAAAAAGAAAAAGATAAGGCTAACAAAATTGAAAACCTCAGTGGCTTAACATGTAGTAGAATATCAAAGCAAATTTTGGTGTTTTAAAATGTAAATTTTTGACTGAAAACTATTAAAAAAATGCCATACGCATATTACACCTTGTGACAGTAATATCCTTCACACTCTCTCAAATATCTAAAATACAACACAATGTAGTTCTGGATGAACTGTTCCTGACTTTTCTTAAAGTGGATAATATTTTGTACTCTATGTACAAAGTCTGAAACACTGTTCTATCTCAAGAATTATAACAGGGCTAGTCTTGTAAGATATACCACCAACATTGTGTTAATACTGCCCAAAATTCCACCTAAAATAACATACATTTTTCAGCATTGATGAAACAGTAATTTTTCTTTTAACTTTCCATGATAAAAAGCCCTTATCTTCTTCTGATCTTAAATTACATGGTACTAACTAGCAGAAAATATACCTTTCCTTTATTCTAATAGTTATCTAGTTAACTTTTTACCTAATACTTATAAGCATTTCTTGTTCTAAGAGTGAACTGTCCATAATACTAGCTATATTAAAACTGCTTTTTTCTCTATGTGGAAAAAAATTGCCTTTTATTTCTCTAAACAAAAATATACATCAATTTCATTGACAATATTTATGTTCCTTTTCCTTTCTATTAACAAAATTACATATATCTCATTTCTACATAAAAAAATTATTAGATAACATAAATAAATCAATACATATCACAAATCTCTTATTTTTGACACAGAAATACTTACAGGTAATCCTCTTAACCCAGGCTCACCAGCCTTACCATCTTGTCCTGGTGGACCTGGAAAACCATCTTTACCAGGAGGGCCAGTGATGTTAAATAAAGAAGTATCACAGACACATTCACCTGGTGGTCCAGGAGGGCCTTGAAGTCCAGGAGGTCCTTCTTTGGGTTCCTGAAGAAAGTAATAATATTTTAAAAGTATTTTTTACATAATGTTACAAAAATGGCCTTTTCGTCTCTACTAAGCCTGTTACTTTCCACAGGGACATAAACATCTATTTATACAGATTTTTTACTATATCATATTTCCACCACATAAAAACATGTGAAGAGAAAGCTTCCAGTTAATTTGATTTTAAATAATTTACAGTAACCAGTTAAAACTACATCATAGCTTTTAACAATTAAAACATACAAACATATTAAACAGAAAATTTCATTGTAGAAACATGATTATCTACTATGATGTCTATTATTCAAAGAAATATGTTACTCACAATATCAAACCAAGAATCAGTGGGTGGAATTGGAGCAGGTAATCCAGGTGGTCCTGGTGGCCCAACAGGGCCAATAACTGAATCTCCCTATTATATAACAGAAAATGAGAGTATCAACCTCAAATTTTACATCATGAACTATTTATAAAATGAAGAAAATCTTCATTTTAAATTGAATGTAATTCACTTTAAATATATTCAATAAAATTTACTCCATCTTTTACCAGCAAAACATTTAAATATAATTCTATTTTCTCCTGCTGAATTTAAAAGTGTAGATACAATTTTCTTACTTGATGAATAAGAAAGTCTCAGTAGCAAGATTTTTATTATTATTTGATCAAACACCATAAATGTTAATTCTTATCCTATAAGATCTAAAAAGCCAATATAATCATATTTTCTTTCTCTTAGGTAAAACAGCTTTTTACACTAATGATTTATGAACATATCTAACATATCCATTTCATTAAAAAAGAATGATGATTATATGTTGAGCTGATGGAAGACAAGTCGACTGAGCAAGAAAAGTGACTCTAGGCTGAATGAAAGCATAATCACCTTCTTCATCTATTGGATGATTTAAATGAATAAAACCCAAAAAGAGTTTAGCATTTTTCAAAGCATTCCCTAGATTCTACAACAGTTTCAGATAAGTTATATGACCAAATTAATATTTATAAAATTAAGCTTCTTGTTAGTAATTGTACCAGAAAAACTATTAAAAATGAAAAAATCATGAAACTTGCATAATTTTTTCTATGCATACAATTTTTTGATAAGTGTTTACTGGATAAGCTTTTCCTAAATATTACTTAGTCTTGTCTCATATATCTGCAAATTAGCCCATATAAAGCAAAGTTATGATAACCAGGGAAAGAATTTATAAATCCAGAAAAGTATAAAATATTTATACAACTATACATCTTTTAACATTAAACTGGACAATTCTGTCCTATATCTTTAAGTTAAGCATGTAATTTTGTAGCAGAAAAACAGGTTCTTAATAGTGCAAGTCACTGAATACTAATTTCAATGGAAAAAATTCCAAAACAGAGCTCTAAATTTATATAAAAGTAAAAAATATGTTTTTATCAAACCAAACTCATTGTAAAAGTAAATGCTATAAAATCAAAAATATTTCTCAAAATATACAAAATTTATTGAATACAATTTTTTAAAAAACAAACTAGAATATGATCAAGACTAAAACTGGCTCTTTTAATATAAATTAGTTGATAATAAAAACAGTTTTGAAGTGAGTGTTTGCCATGTTAGGATTATATCTACATTTTAACAGTTTCATATAAGCTTTCTGGAAAGTCAAGCTTGTCACAGATGATTAACTTTACAGAACTGTTAGTAGTTGCATGCTTAGAAAATAGCAATATTCAGAATTTTCTTTTAAATCAAATTAACTAAATGGTGGTTTAATTGAAAACATAGGATCTAAACTTCTGAATATGTATAGTTCTGCTATTTGACTATACAAGGGAACAATATATTATTATTATTAAAGTAGCTGTGACAAGCAGAGTATACCCATAGGCATAGCACAGACATGTTTCTAAACCTGCTTTTACTCTAAGGAAGTTTGTTTTTTAAATTTCAGTGTTTTTGCCCATATGGGTAAAGTGCTCTTGTACTGTTTACAGATTAACTTGCCTTCAGTGTTAAGATAGGAATACATGAAATCCAAAAACAGATGATTCTCGAGTAGAATAAAAATTTTTTTGTTAGTTTCTTGTTAAGCACAAATCTACACAATTGGCTATCTGTGCTGCACCCACCATGGGTGCCAAAATGTGGTTTTTAGCATTACAAACCTTCAGACTTACTGCTGAGCCACTAGGGAACAAATATTTTTCTCTAGAATAACAAAAACAACATCAACCATTATGAATTAGTAATTCTATCACAGTGATCACAAAATTGCACATTAATGTAATATTCCAATGGAATTCTGTGATTTGACGCTATAAACATTCAAGATGGTGAATTTCTGAGTCCAGTGAGTTTGTCTGAATTTAAGTAAGAAACATTAAGCTTTCATGTTTCAGAAACTAAAAGTTTTTCTTAACTTCTGTATATTATCAGGATAATTTTCAGTATTAAAATCATGTTAAACATACTGAACTACTTTCTTGTGTAAAGAAGCATTTTATGCTAACATAATAATAGGTAGGCAAACAACAACTTATAAGCATAAGAAAGAGTTTTATTGATGGTGGAACAGACATGTTTCAACCAGTGTCATTGTTTGCCTACCTATTAAACTACTGTCTTTGAGGTAGAAAAGACATTTTTCGATCAGTGTCATTGTCTGCCTACCTATTAAACTACTGTCTCTGAATTTATCAGTGATATGCTAAAAATTCCACAGAATGACACTTACAGAGACATTTTTATTAATGACTAACCTTCTCACCCTTGGGTCCTACAGGCCCAGGTATGCCCCTTTCTCCTTTTTGGCCTGGCAAAGCATACTTAGAATAAAAGTCCTCTGGTATGGTGCCTTGTTCACCCTACAAAAAACAGGCTAAAGTGAAAATCTGACTTTTTGGATAAATATCACTTTCCATAATTAAAACATTTTGATTTTCTTCTTCTTTTAAAATTTTCTACAATACTGCTAATAAACGCATACCTGTAATGTCATTAAAACACACTGTTAATAATTTTGTGACTCATTTTCAGGTAGTACTGTATTTTTGTTAACACTTGATAAACTTGGTACTTTATTGCCAGATGTTACTCACTGTTATTCTTGAAACACTAGTAATAAGCTCAATATTTATGGCTTAGATGATAATGAAACACTTGTAAAAAATTCATTGCCCAATGATTGCACAATGAGGTGTCCTTTAAACAGATAAAAATTCTGTACTTCTGGTGCAGATGAGACTGTGTGCTGTTAAAAATACATCTTGTGACCAGATTGTATTCAGCTAAAAGTCATGTTTCATTTTCTGAATACTTGAGTGGTAAAGTTGCTGCTGTCTACCATGTGTTGTATCAATATTTCCAATAATTTTGGAAGATATAGATACTAATAATATAAAATGAAAAAAAACTAAAATAAATAAATTCTGAGTTACTGGAAAGTAAACTTCAAATGTAATTTATTTTTCAGTGTTTATAAATGTTACATAAATTGAATTTTATTACATCGCTATCTGATGTACTAGCATAAGACACTCTATCCATTGCAGGGAGTCGAACACTGAATTTTAGTGTTGCAAGTTCGTGAACTTACTGCTGACCTATCAGGGAACAGATAGGTGTTACATGTAATACTAAAACAACAGAAAGTTAATGAAATAAAGAAAGATGGAATTCAAAAACTTTAGTATTACAAATAGTGAAAATATTATATAATTATGCAAATAAAATTATCATGTACATACTGATACACTTTGTCATACAGAATGCAAAATTAAATATAAATATAGTTTACATATTTTGTAAACTTAATATCTTTTATGAATGTTAGCAATAAAGGATAATATTCATCCAAAGCATGCCACATGATAAAAAAATCAAGCAAACTTGTATACTGTGTACATCAAAACAATACATTAAAATAAAAAAACAACTTAAAATCTCATGTTGAAGGTCTTTTTATACTTCACTTCTTTTGGTGACAGTTCTGAATACATAAAAATCAACTTGCATGGATTGGCACAATAAATTAAAATGTGTAAAATGCAACTAATGATAGTTTAAACACTTGGAATTGTCCTCAGTGGTAGAGAAAGTTGTTAGTATGATGTCATAATTGTCACAGTATTTACACAACTTGTACTTTTAAGCTGAATAATCTGAGCCATTATATTCACAGGGAGGAACTGACAATTTTACTAAACTTAGAAAATTAGAAAGATCAGTAGCCATAAAGCATATAAGGAAAATGTTAACTTCTGAGATGATACACACCTCCTCACACAGAAAGCTAGAATCCCACATTGATATGGAGGAGGAACCAGTGCAAAAGTTACACTGTTTGCCCAGATTGGAAGGGAGGAAGATGCAAACAAGCCCCAAGTGTCGCGTGTATGGGCAGAATAAGAACATAGCTGCCTGAGTACATTCACAGAGGAGGTCAGAGAACCAATAAGTGTAACATGGTTGGGGCATATTCAGAGTCCCGACTGTCTTCACCTTATGACCAGGAAGTAGAAGGAAAAAGCATTTTCCATCCCAACAACTCAGGCAGGGTACGTGTGTGAAGATCAAGTACCCAACCAACACCAAGCCACCCGAGAACCCAACATCCAGGCAATGGTAGGATGGATGTGAATGCAAACATGGTAGGTCAACTCCAGTCCCAAACCAGGTAGTGTCAGGAATTTTTTATCCAGTTCATGGTAGAAGGAGGACCCCTACCAACAATATGTGAGTACTTATGTTGACAGGTCCTGCACTGATCCAACATTAGATCACCCAGGACCAGGTGTAGGGACTAGGATATTGTCGACATATGAACACTGACTCCCATCTCAGACATGGAACTTTGCAAATCTTTCAAAGTTACTGTTGGTTTTACAGTGGCATCCCTAATCAGTTTCCTGCTTGCCCGACTGCTTAGTTTGGAAAAGCAACCTGATCTGGGTACCGACTGGGTGGTATGAAGCACATTCCACTTTTTAATGATGGACTTCACCATACTCAAAGGGATAATTAGCAGAACTCTGAAATTATCTTGTAACCTTCCCCTGATCTGTGCTTCTCTACCACAAGTGATATTGGAAATACTGTTCACAGTTTCTGAAATGATAGAGCTGCTTAATAAGGTGTTAATCTGCATTTCTATATATGTAAGCAGTATGCAGATCTGATTTTTGAGTGTAAAATCTGTTAAAAAATTATGAATTCTGCATAAACATGGTGTTTACCCAATTAGTATTCATTTGCCATAAGCTTCAGGACAATATTAGTTACTGGAATAATAAATACAGTACCAAAGTTTTGATTATTTATGTAAATGGATCACATTTCTTAAGTTTCTTGTTTTTGTAACTATAGCTCAAAATGCATGTCATCTTTAAAAAACTTACACTGTAGAACAGTAAATACATTTAACTGCTGGCTTTCTATGTGTTTGCTCTTAAAAGAGATAAATTCCAGAACATGTGTTTGCTCTTAAAAAGAGATAAATTCCAGAACATTACACTTATTCAACCACTTGTTGTTTATGCCATTTTAGTCTGGATATCTGATATATAAAAAGCTTCAAATATGAAACATTACATATATTGCTGGTTTTTTTATGCCACTTTCGATTGAGTATGTTTGAAAGATCTTAAACAGTTAAAGAGTAAATATATTTGGTTGTATATTATCTTTGAAGTCCTTGACTTATGGGACAGCATGTATTTCAACTACTGGTTCATTATGCAACCTTAAGGTTTGAAAGTTTCATCTTTGAAAACCTAATTTATGAAACAGTAAACATGATATCTAAATGTGATTTATAGACATCTAGACTGAATAATTACTTATTAATTAGGGCATTTATTATTTGCTTTTGTAACTATAGTTTGTGTAATTCATCTTGATTTGTTTAGTGTTTTTTGCCTATTAAATTTATTCTGCATAATCCAAGTTTAAAATACTTAGCTTTATGGAACCATAAGCATAATATTGAAGATTTGGTTGTTTAAGTAACTTTAATTGATGTAGTCTTATATCTGAAATATACATAAATGTATAGTATTACACAGCTGAAACACTTGTACCTTGATTCCAGGTTGTCCTTCATCACCAGGTTCACCTTTCTCTCCTTTAGGTCCGGGTATTGCAGACACAGGACCATAGGATGGTTCTATATATGAGAATTATACTAAATTGTGTAAACACTTAGACAGCTGATAACATAAAGTGATTTTGCAGCAAAAATCACCAATTTAAACTTAGTTCTAGAATTATAAATTGAAGAAGGGGATATTTTGCTTTATAACAAATTGATGTTAAAACTGACATATCAGTACCTCTGAATTTTTTATGTAACATAAGTGATTAGTCTAAATCTCAGACTACCCTATTATTTAGCTCAGCACATTTTAAAATAATCTAATTTTCTCTTTTATTCACCACACAGTACGGTAAAGGGGAGGGGATATACTAACAGTATCTTGAGGTTAATGATTTGGCTCAGACTATATAACATTCACTTGACATGACAGAGATACAATGTATAATCTTTAGCTATGGAAAAAACTGGTTTAGGATAAAAAAAATTGAGACTCAATCTGGAACGGTTCCATGACTGGGAAATCAAGCTTGAGGATGAGCCTTGTTTGTAAAAAAGTAGTAATGTGATAGCCACAGTTTAGACTGTTAAAAAAAGGATCTTAATAGTAGTAGCAAAGTTAGTTCAAATGGTCAAATAGGAAATACCAAATTCAATCCTGGGCAATGAAATTAAAAAAGGTGGATTACCAAAACTAATATCAAAGTAAAATCCAAATCTGAAACTTCTTCTCTACTCACCATCATATATCCTATGTTTAATAATCAAATAACTTAAAACTTTTCATACTATTCAATGAAGCATAGTTCACAATTTCTCACAATCCTTTATGACCCAAATCTGAACAATAAGACCTACAACATAAAACACATATTTAAAACTACAATGGTGTCCTATTCTGAGTGCTATCTACTATTAACCATAGTATTTAGACATCTCTCAAAATCCCTCTATAACTTAAAGTTAATATAGAAGTCTGTAAATGAAACTTTAATAACTAATTTTCAATGAACATGTAATTTTGGTTGTAATGCATCATCTAATAAAATATAAACCACTTACATTTTATACATAGTATTCAATCTTGTTTTGTACAGGTCCCAACAACATAGCAAAACCCACTTAAAGAACAAATAGTTCAAATGACAGCAACACAATTACACTTGGATAGAGGTTAGTAGTTTTTCATTACTGTCACTTCTATGTAGGTATCAATCTATTAGTGCCTGATTAACTTCACTACTCAGCATGTGAATGCTACTTGTCCCACATTTATGAATTGTTTTATGTAATTTGTCTTTGTGTTAATAAACAGTTCCTGGGATTACTCATTATTTTCCATATTTAGTTAGTTGAGGCTAACATCAATGGCCTAGTAAGACGTAGTACTGAAGAAGGTTGTCACAAACCTTAGTCCAATCACTGCCCATCTTAACTGTCTTAGTTTTTTTACACATAAAGATATGACCCAATATAAAGCAAATACATTTCAAAAATAAACCTACTACAGATGCAAGTATTCAAACTCTAATGCTAAAAGTCATGAAAGGCTGCAAACTTTTTCATATGGTCAAACAAAATAAAAACCAGACCTAAAATACTATATCCTCCTTCAAAACCTGATAATGGTGGTGGTGGTGGTGAAGGTAATGGAGGTGGACCTTCAGAACAGAAAAGAACAAAGTAAATTAGAGATGCCTAATTTCATCCTAAAATCATATCAGAGTACAGTTCGAGATACAACACACTGGCATGTCAGACCAAAAAAGTGTATATTCAAAGTACTCCATTTTTGTTAAATAGTACATGAAACTGTACATACAAATTTTTAGGAGTATTCAATTAATTACAGTTTTAAAAATATAGATTAAACAGTTTAATTAATTAAATTACTTAAAAAAAATAACTTACACATAATTCCAATACAGAATGCGTGAAAAATAAAAGTAAAATGTGAAATGATTAGAAACATGAATTAAAGAAAAGAAATTTACAAAATACAACATTCTGAACTGTAGCTATCACACGTCCCATTTATGTCAGGCAGTTTCAAAAGAAATACATCATTTAATATGCTCCTAAGTAACATTTCTGAGCCATAGGTGTGGTATTTTCAGTTTTATTACTTGCTTGTCTTGGAATTGAATCCTAGGCCTTTCACACATTAGACAAGTGCTCTACCATGAGCAAAAAGGTTAACAGTAACTTTTTAACAACTCATAATATCATATTCTTCTCTCATAACAAACATGTCCTCAAGGGGTCATGGAACAGCCCCATATTTGATTCCAGTTTTCTTGTGGAAATTTAAATTTTATTATTTCCCTGTTTGGATTTGAACCTGACCTCTTGCATACCAGGAAAGTGCTCTACCAACTGAGATAGAAGGTTAACCCTTAGCACTTGGTAGTAAGGCACTTTTTTGGCAACTCAAAATATCACATAGGCAGTTCATGAAAAAGCCTAGTGAATAACATGTTTTTGTACCTAAAGGCCCTTCTGAAACGTTTTAATCATCATCTGGCATTTAAACAGCTCTTTGAAGAAAGTAGTAATTAACATGTTTGACAGCTGGATTCCAAAATAAAGTGCTTAACACATTTGTGGTACAAACATATCCTGATGAAGCCTAATAGTAACTAAGAATTTGGTTTGATAATAGGGAGGTTCTGAAAAAAAAAAATGGCTATTGATCATGTGTTGTATTTATAAATAAATCTAGATATATTCAGTAAATAATTCTGTTATTGACACAAGTGAAACATGCCTCTCACCATCACTAGTAGTATTACACATTCAAAATTTTACTGTGCTCTTTTAAAAGTTAAGAAGAAAATGTAAATAATATTGTATTTGATATTATTTTCTAAATAGGAAAAACTTATGGAAACGTCCGTAAAAAAGCTAGTGAAATGTCAGTTGTATATGTTTCTTTAAAAGATGAAGTCATTACAATTACAGAGTATATCCAATTAAATAAAAATTACTAAAACAAGTCTTCTAAGTTAACACCTAAAATGTATACATTTGGTGGTGTATTTATATTACTTTTGTAATTTAACTCCAGCTACTAATTGTCTGAATTCCATATTTACTCATTCAATGACTTGTAAAAGCACTCTTTTTTTTTTCACAGATCATCAAGTAACGTACAAATTTCTGATCACTTCAATCCAATCGTTATTCACTTTGAATTCTAGCTTTGTCTAAATTTTGCCAGCAAAGAAAGTGAATCATATCAATATCTTAAACAAAGAACATTTATTACTGTACCAAATATTCGTGTCTAAAACTTTTTTTCTTGCATTTCTATAACATTATTAACAACGTTTAAATTAAACTCGCATTACAATTTACAGAAAACGTTTACACGTGCGTAGAAGATTTTATATAAATACAAGTCGGTCAAAATACTAAATCAACTGTGACACCTGTGAACCAAATTTTTAACTCATAATTTAAAAGAGTAATCAGCAAATATCAATTTGACAGTAAAATATGACATAACATACTGATAGAGCACAAAGTTATGATAGAGTTCGTTATTTATTATAATACCAAAGTTCGTGAAATATTAAAACTCGTACTCTCTGTGAAGTACAACAAAAAGTAACAAAAGCAATATAGTGTAGTGACACATGTAAATCCATTTCCGAAATTGTTTTGTTGTGGTTTCGTAAAGTTTCACTGTGCTTTACTAGAGTTTTCACTAAGTCTAGATACTATTCACAAGATTTTTCACGTTGTATGGCAACACATTATATTTTTTCATTAGCTACGCTACATTTACCTTTTAAAAGATTTTGAGATGTTAATTACCTCTTAAATATTTCTGATTTTTGTTAAGTTGGATTAAACCGTTTTCTGATAAATAAGTCTGATAATGATACTTTTCACTATTTTTGTGTGTAATGTATAAAAAAAATAAACATGTTGAAAATTTTCAAATTAAAATTACAGTTTATGAGTTCGAAAGTATACTGTACAATACATTATTCATTGTACAACATGAGTAATTATTTGTTATAGGCCTTTACTCACTTCCTACAACTACTTGGTTGATGGGACATAATATGGTATTCATCTATGCTTATATTCAAGCGAAATGGTTCGAATGGTCATCATAGTGAATCAATGAAACCACTACTACCAAAAGTTATCCCTAATTTTTAGAAAATAACTTCTGAATGAATACCTATCGGATATCATGTTATTGCATTGCTACACGTGTCTTGTAAATAATTGGCAAATAAGAAACGCAAAAAACAAAATTGAACTCATATAACGATACAGAATAAACTTGGATAGTGTAAACAATTCCATTTAGATTATTTTCAGGTAATGTTAGAGATCAATTTCATACTGCCACAGGTTCTAACTAGTTTCTTTTTAATATTATTCATATGGTATTTCCCAAAGATGGGGCTGTTAATGCCCATTCGAATTAACAAATTAAGTTAACCTGAATTCATTGCTTTTTATTTGATTCTTTAATTATTTTAAGTCAGTAGTACATTTTTCCCAGTCAGTTTTTAAATATACTGTATATATACTCTACGTAAGCGTTTTATCTTTATTTTTTTATGTATATAACTTCTGCACTCCAAGCAAATTATTAGTAACCCCTTCACAGGCCTACCCAAGGATTCACAGTTGCGTGATATCACGTGATATCATCATGTTCCAAGAAGTATCGTCTCCAGTCCCATTTTTAGTTATTGCAGTTAAGTAAATGTTTTTTTTATCAAAAGCTCCAATAAAATTTTATTTTGTTTAGTTACAAAGGAGTGTTTCTGAAAATTTAAAAACTTCTGTGAGAACGATTATTAAATGAAGCAAAATCTGAAACAGTAAAATCGCAATAAACAAAAACTAGTATTTAAGTGGTCATTAAGCATTGTTTTAGAATAAGAAAAAATGCTCATGACAGTTTGTGAATGTTCGAATTTGTATAAATCAAATGCGGAATAGACACCGAGTATGTCATAAAGTCAGTAACTATATTACTCAGAATATAAGAATTACTCGTGTGTAATACAAACACCTTTACTCAAAGATTGATCACTAAGTTATTAGGTAATAACGTCACTAAAACTTGCTAAATCATAAAGGTGATGACGTCACTTACCCCTGTGGTGTTTCGTCCCTTCCTCCTTATCCAAATCACTTTCCCCACTTGATATTGGTATATAACCTTCGTCATCTTCAGACACAGGCCTCTGATATATAAAATATATATATATTAGTGTATTCTGCTCTATCTAGTTACCGCTACTATCATTTAACTTGAACAATTATATATCTTGGCCACCTATGATTTAGCAATTTTCATCCTTAATCATAATGTATAATACAGTAAAAACTAAATAAACAACTGGGAACCTTCATGATACAGTATATCTAAAACATACACTACTACTTTCTTCGATGACAAGGAACCCACTTTGAGACAAATAATGGCTGGAGACGGCTTGAATTGGTAATGAAGAATTGTACCTGATGATGACGAAACCTTGTCGAAACGTTGTACATTTGCTGTTATGTAAACTTATATTAAAGTTTTTCTTCATTACCCATTCAAGCCGTCTTCAGCCATTACTACTACCTTCTGCCACATAGACTACATATGTGCTGCCATCTAGCGAAGACTAACGTCAATATGGTTTTCTAAATGTGAAGAAAATGTAGTCTATTTTAATCGAATAGTTTGTTTGTTTGTTTTGAATTTCGCGCAAAGCTACACGAGGGCTATCTGCGATAGCCGTCCCTAATTTAGCAGTGTAAGACTAGAGGGAAGGCAGCTAGTCATCACCACCCACCGCCAACTCTTGTACCAACGAATAGTGGGATTGACTGTCACATTATAACGCCCCCACGGCTGAAAGGGTGAGCATGTTTGATGTGACGGGGATTCGAACCCGCGACCCTCAGATTGCGAGTCGAGCGCCCTAACCATTTGGCCATGCCGGACCTAATCGAATAGTAAAAGTGACCGTCACGTTACAACGCCCCCACAGCTGAAAGAGTGAGCATGTTCGGTGATGGAATTCGAACCCACGACCCGCAGATTGCAGTTCGAGCGCCATAAAGACCAGACTATGGCAGACCAAAATGAAGATGAAAGCACATTGTTCATTTCTTAAGGATCTGCAATTTTGACGAAATATGAAACAGTTTTTTAAGATACTTAAAATAAACTAGGAGTACATACGCGCGCGCGTTTAAATTGATTTATTAGGACAAGAAGAAATAAAAACATACAGAATTAACATATCAACTTATAACTACGTGTGAGAGCGTGTTTTACACAGATGACGTCACTGTGAAACTCCGTTCACAGACTTGTCTAGACTTAACTATCCATGCGCAGTCATAAGTGAATGGAATCTAGAGCATTCAGGGTGAACCAGATCTATTTTAACACTTCTCACGCTTATCAAGCTTCACAACTGATTTAGTCAGTGAATAGCTGCTGTAGTTTTTATAAATAACTCGATAAAATATTCTTTCATCGTGTGGCAATTGGTACAAAACTTCGGTAAACTAGATTTTTTAACATTGTTCTAAGAAGTATGTTTATAATATATCAACCACGTATCCAGTGCTGACGAGGCCTTTCGCTCAATATCAGATAGGCTGGGATACGACAGTCACAGCAGTGGTCCAAGAGCTATATTTCATCAATTTTTATGTACAATAACTTCTAGGGCTTGAATCTGATTAAATAAGTGAACAGTAAATATGGTAAATTTTGTTTAAACCATTTAAGGGTAGAAATTCATAACACACTATTATTCATTCATTCTATTTTTGACATCGATTGTTGAATAACCGTGAATTACATTTACGTATGTATGTATCTCCTGACATCAATTTAACGGCTTTTAACACTTGTTTGTTTGTTTTGAATTTCGCGCAAAGCTACACGAGGGCTATCTACGCTAGCCGTCCCTAATTTAGCAGTGTAAGACTAGAGGGAAGGCAGCTAGTCATCACCACCCACCGCCAACTCTTGGGCTACTCTTTTACCAACGAATAGTGGGATTGACCGTCACATTATAACGCCCCCACAGCTGAAAGGGCGAACATGTTTGGTGGGATGGGGATTCGAACCCGCGACCCGCAGATTGCAAATCGAGTGCTCTAACCACCTGGCCATGCCGGGCCTTTTAAACACTTATTTTAAAGGAGTACGTCAATCGCTGAAGTCTTTTCTCAGCAAATTGAAAAAAATAACATAATGGTAATTTGTTTTGACTATAGGATATATTTCAAACTGGAACTATCAAAATGAACTTGTGTGAGTTATTATTAACATAAAATCAAACCTTATAAAATGAAATTAATAATTGGATATTTGTTGTTTTCAACTTAAATCGACACATTGGCTAAATGCATCACAAGGTAGATCAAAGTTAAAACAAAGTTGTCCCTTGTTTTGAAATGTTGACCAGAGGAAGGGCAACCAGTCAGCAGCACCCTCTACCTACTAGGCTACTTTTAACGGAATAACAGAAAAGTAATTTGTCCCTCTTCTGTTATGTAATGTTTTAAAAAATGTAACTGTTTTTGTGTTTTGGACCGGATGCTTAAACAACAAGCAATTGATTTAATTCAGACAATTTAAACTTTTAGCCCCAAATGACAAATGTTCAATTTCCTAAGCCTCTTTTCAATTACTCCTGTTTGTTATCTAAAATATCATCTGTAATCTAACTGTGGATAAAATAAGTTGAATCAAAAAGTAAACAGTAAAAAAAAAAAAGTCACAATTTTTGTTTGTTTAAGAATTTTCGCATGAAGCTGCACGTAGCCGTCCCTAACTCTGAATTGATTGAGTAGAGGAAGGGCAGATAGTCAACAGCACCCAGCACCTATTCTTGGGCTACTCTCAGCTGACTAAACTTTTATAACGCGCTCACGTTCCCAAAGTGCCTGGTACGTTTTTGATACAACGGTCTGCGAAACATGAATCCTCTGATTCTGAGTTCGAACACGTTCATGACTAGACCACTTCCGGCCTAAATAGCAAAATAGCCTAAAACTTCAAAGGAAAATAAATTATTATCATCAGCTCTAGGGGCGGATTAGCATTAAAGGGGCAACCCGGGTAATACCACTAACAGCGGCCCAATAATTTTTCACATGCTGCATACTGTCTAACAAGGATGCGTCAAATGCACAGGTATCCCGGTAGGCCAATCCGTCCCTGATCAGCTCAAATTAAAATCAAACGCATGATTAGCATATATTGAGCGTAAAACCCATATACGTATGTATTCTTGAAGACATATAACAGTCCAACTCATGAGTTCATACAAAAGGAATAAAGATGTCAATAACATTTATCAGTGGCGGATTTAGAAGGGGAGGGGTCCATGGGGTCTGGACTGCCCTTTTTTCCTTTAAAATTTTGGAAATTTAAGCAAGGGAAGAGTCAAAGACTAGCTCACAATGAGTCCCTGTGAGACACCGGCATTATTGATATATGTGTCAAATATGATGCTGTGCCCTCTCATTTGTTTAAAATATATGTAAAATCCTTTGATGTTTTTGTTTCATTAATAACACGAATATCACTACCTTTGTGACAAAACTTAATAAAAATGGTGACAGGTAGTTTTACTATCTTATGATAGCATTTATGTGTTAACAAATTTTGGACTCCCTCCCCCCTTCTTTAAGAAAATCCTGGATCCGCCCCTGATTTATGGAAGATTATTGTCTTCAGTTGGGGAAAAATCTTTAATTTTGTTAGATTTACTTTTAAAATTTAAATACAAAACATAGTAAATTTAATAATCAACTACCTAATAACAAAGATTACTTTTTTAAATTAAGTATTTAAAAACACGGAAACATCTCTCTATGTGTATTAGAAGCCGACATATTTCTCTTTTTAAAAAACCATGGTTGAATAAAAGAACTCACTTAAAGGGCTTATTTTTCGACTTTAATTTAAAGATTGACAAGTTAAAGGTTTTAAAACGTTATCCTTTACCACTGTAGGATTTATGCTAATACAATTTTATTTTTTGATGGATGCTTCTTGTATGAGTGAATTAGAAATACCAATTATTGCAATAAATCTAGTACTAAAAAGAAAAACACAAATTTGACCTGCCAAAATTGCAGTTTGGAGTCATATCAGAAGCTCTAAACAATCTGAATAGGTTGGTACCACGAGATACTCCCAATAAAACTTTTAGATAGGAATGATGTACTATTTATCGTCACAAACATAAATAACCATTTTTCACAGGGTGTCTTAATGTCGTCCAGGTTGGATTCGGTGGCACAACTAGGCTTCAGAAGATCTATAGAGAAGAATTACATGAGGGTTCTTAACCGTTATTGTTAATAATCGTGGGAACCTCCAAGAGGCTGGGTGGGGGTCGTGGACATAATCTAAAAATGAAATGTGTAGTTCGTTTGTTGTTCAGCTCAAATTACACAATGGGCTATTTGTGCTTTGCCCACAACAGGTATAGAAAACCGTTTTTTAACGTTATGAACCTCCAGACTTACCGCTAAACCACTGGGGGGGGGGGCAAGATGGGTTGTTGTTGTTGCCTAGTGTCTTTTACACTTATGTCGATTAATTATGTTCACAATGAGAATGAATACCGAAGTATGAAAGTCCCATTCCAAAGATGATTCAGCGGGAAGTCTGAGGACTTATAGCACTAAAAATCGGTTTTTGATACCAGCGGTGGTCACATATTAGGTACTTACATTTCTATTGATATTTTCTTTACCAATTTCCAGTAATTGACACTTATACTACAGAATATCTCAATTTTACTTTTTTACGCCTAACTGACAATAATAATAAATGGAATTGACAACTTTGAAGACAGATAAAGATTTTAATACTTTGTTTTAGTAAGACCACAAGAAACTGTATGTGTTCATCACT